GTTTGTTTTCAAATAGTTTGCTGCCGTGTGTTTGGACCTTTCTGCCCATGCGCAGCAAATGGACTGAACCAATGCAGTGGACACTGTAGGGGGGCCCCGAGACACACTTAATATTATAAGCATTCTAATGGCATTTTAGCGAAAGGATTTTTATCAAAAACATAATTAATGTGCACAAATAAGTAATAGCTGAATTAACCACACATGTAAAAGGAGTTTTAGGGCCCCCCCCAGGAACTCTGGGCCCTAGGCAACTGCCTAGTTTTGCCTAATGGTAAATCCGCCCTGGTTCCAGGCTGCATGGAGAAAGGGGAACATTTTCACAGTCTTCCCAAGGATCCGAAGACTTGACAGGCATGGATTATGTTTGTCTATCAAAAGATCCCAACAGTCACTGGGTCAGGTTTGGTTGCTCCCTCCTCTGCTGGGTCCCCTCCCCCGTCTGACGGGTTCCTGGATCAGCCCCGGACTTATGGCTTGGTTCGAGTGCCTGGGGTGTTTCGACTACATGCTGTACTGTAGTCAACCAAAATCCTGGACGATTTTGAAATTGCCCCCAGAATTTTTTTTTAGGTACGAAAAGTAGGACATGTCCGGGAAAAAGAGGACGTCTGGTCACCCTACCATATCAACAATTTGATGTTTCAGTGAGTGAGTGCTTGTTTCTATGATGCGTCTTTGCTCAGCAGCTTTGCTCGTTGTAAACCAACCAATCAGCGCACAGCTCATCTAAATATTCATGATCATACCATAAAAGGAAGAAAACTTGTCCTTTCAAAGCTTTTAACCAGGCTTACATTAGGGCTCATAGAACAGCAAATATGCCATTTTCACCCCAACCAATGTTACACACCCTATTCAGATACCATAAGGACCAGCATGGAATAGCCTATAGAATCACTCTATGACCCCTTTAACAAAATGAAACAGCAGATCTGTGTCAAAGTAATGAATTTATCTTTGTTTTAAAAGTCTTATGTTTCCCTGAATATGACAACATCATCTTTGTTCTATGCTGTAGCGCACATATTGTTTACATTGTGACCGGTCAAACTAGGGAGTACCAATATGGTGGCCGGCGGCTTCACTTCAACCTCATACTACCAACGAGCAATCAGCGATCCAGTGAATAAATACAGGTCATGGGTTGTAGAGCTGAATTTCAAATGGTTGGAACTAATCTCTGTACAAGGTTTTTACTTTCTAGACCTGGATTACCGACCTCTGGCTTCCTATAATGAAAGACTGCAATAATATACTAGTGGTGTATGCTATGTAACAGTTTTCTCTAGATTTGATTTAATTATATCTCTTCTGGCTTCTTAACTGTAATACATCATAGTAAAAATGATGAAGCTTTGGGAAATTCTAGCTAACACTCCTTTACTCTCTGGTTCTATGTTCCCTTCTTGTTTACCTCGAGCACCTTCCCCTTTCATGGTCTCTGCATGGCCCTGCATTGTTCGGATTTATTTTCATAACACAGTAAAAATCATACAAAACAGAACACAATAGTAACAAAGATTAAATGTACAGTATCAAAATGTAAAAAAAGGAAGATTTACATAACATTATTGGTGATTGGGACTAAAACATAATAATATAAACCACTTTTCAGAATAAAATTGATACTAGAATGGACTTCATATCAATAAATATCACTAAGATAATCAGTTTTTTACATTATAGAGATGAATATGAACCAAGAAGACTTTGTTGACAGAAACGTGATACTTTATTTCCATAGCCTCTCTCTCTCTCTTTCTCTCCATCTTTCTCTCTCTCTCTGCTGAGTTAACAGATTGAACAAACCACACCTTTATATCTCCTACTGCGAGAGTCATTCCACTTTTCATAACTATAAACCTCCTGATCTGTGAGTTTACAAGAATCCCTTTTTATGGAAGTCAAATAAACGGCTTCCAGAGAAAATTACGGAAGGTTTGTAAAAAAATGACAGGAGCCACAAAACATGTACTCTTTCATCAGGTAAGACATTTTTTGACCATTCTAAAATAAAATGCTATCTTTACCAATCATAATTAAAAGTACACACCTGGTGTTTAAAAAAAACCTGTTTAAAATGTGTTTTTTATATAACAATCTTTCCACACTGACATAATTTTCCATTACGACACTCACCTATCCAGGACATTCAAGCTGAAGCTGTTGATTTATCTACTGGCTCTGACTGCCCTCGCTGTGTTTCTAAAGTCAGACTTCACTGACTGGCTTCAGCTGCAGCTTCAAAGTCAAAGCTTGTGTGCTTGTGAAAAATGTTTGTCTGAGGATAACCTGTTGGCCCTTCATCGCCTAAGGGGACTTGAGGAACCATTTTTGTCTGTGAATACCACCCTCTCTGAGGATGCTTTCAATTGGTGGAAGGTAAACTGCCATTCGGGATGCATAGTGATGTTATATGGCATTTTTAAAGTCATGGGGAATTAATATTTAAATGTCAAATCATTCTGGCGTTTCCCGTACATATATATAAATGTACTATATCAGGTGATATTGCCCAGAATTTTGAAAATAAATGTGTATATATAAAAAAAATCCTGTCTTAAAATCTTTTTTTTTTTGTCTCATTTTCGTAAGCAGGCAAGTTAGTTATACGTCAGCTTGAACACTTAAATTCTGCCAATCGTATATCAAGGGTCATCTATCAATCAAATTTTTTTGGTC